AAGAGGCTCAGATTCGCCCGACCACATTATTCACCAGTATCTATGAAAGTTTGCATAAGTGGATTGTTTGATTTTCTGGTCAATATGGCACTCAACTTTGACACCAGCGCGATATAGCACTCTACTGATGCTAAGGAAGACCGGTCCCTTCCCCTTGAGGCTTAAACTTAGCAGAGCGCAGATGATCAGAGGGCCTTGTATTGGCGCTGGCAGCAAGATGAATGTCATATCCGTGATCTGGATGCCAAAAAATCTTATATGCAAAATGGTACAGTTTACAGATTTTACTGTACAGTCTCCTGTTTGGGTCGACAGAGAACCATTTGTTCTGCTGATGATCCTCCAATATCAGGGGTTCTCACAGGGTTCATCACTTTTTCAGATGGAAGATAGACTGACAACTTTACTTGTTGGAAGACAGTTGGGAGAACATAGCGCAGAGACGGTGGAGGTCTTTGGATTCTTCTGCTGAAACCTTTTGCACTCTTTTTTTACTACGTTACAACGTCGGGCAGGAGGTGGTGTAGTGAAAAGTGGTACCCTTATGACCACTCGGGCGGTCCTGGGTTCAAATGGCCGGGTCGACTCCCGCCCAGGCCAACCAAGCCTTCTACCCTCCGGACGGTAAATTGGTACCAGATTCGTCTGGGAGGATAAAACACTGACTTGTACATCGGCTGGCCCCCGCAAGTCATTGTATAGGCCACATCGCATTCAATAAGCCACTACGATTCTGAATGGAAGTAGAATGCGTGCCGCATCCCACAAAGGGATTGATCAACGGCGAAGACTTTATCCTTTATCCTTTATGTTAGAACGTCAACAAAGGGGTTAAGCTAGTTCTGGTCAAAGCCTGCACCATTATATCCGTGGTCGTATCTCTTACATAGTCAAGCCCTTGAAGTCTTGTTCCTTGCGGACGATGCCATGTGTCAGGGGGGACAGGTTTGTCGCGGCTTCCCCCTCCCCCTCCCTTTTTTTTCCAAAGCAAAAGCATATCATTCATTTTAGCCGTTTTTCTCCAATTACTGTCGCTTACTAGCTTCAAAAACTGGTGAAGAGGGTACTGGTGGCGGGCCGGACCTAGCTTAACACTGACATGCCGCATCGATGGCAGCGAACAAGGCTGTGCATGGATGTTGTAATTAGAAGCAATTTTTCCATAAAAATAAGCAAATGCTACTCACCACTGTGTCACAGACGAAGTACGGAATGAATTCTTTTGTCGTAGTATTATTCATATCGTAATCGAAGTAGTTTGAATCGTAAGGATAATCGTTGTAGCTTTGGTTACTATTGTTGTAGCTCTGATCAGCGACCAATGCCTGATTTTGCATAAATATCAACAGTTTACAAAGCAGGCATTATAACATCTGGACAAGTTGTGCACTACCCTTGGTAGGTACGGTGACTCGAGCGTGTGCTTATGGGCGGTACTTGATAAGGGTGTCATATTGCCCTTAAATTCTTCTAGGTAACTAATATAGGCTGTTGTACATGATTAGCTCTAACGTCATCATAAATGATTAAGCCATTCATGATAATGTCCGCCATTAAAGCTGTGCACCGCAGGATTCCATATACGCTGTGCACCGAAGGA